TCTCTCTCTCTCTCTCTCTCTCTATCTATCTCTCTCTCTCTCTATCTATCTCTCTATCTATCTCTCTCTCTCTCTATCTATCTCTCTCTCTCTCTCTCTCTCCTCCACGCCCCCCCCCCACCTCCACCTTTTGCTCTCTCTATCCTGCATTTTAGCTTTCAGTAATCCGTTTGCTGCTCCTACTGCCACACCGCAAGCTGCTTCTACCAACCCCTTCCAGACCAACGGAATGGCACCAGGTGAGTCTTTGGACCTTCTCTGTATCTTTTTCTTTCTTGGTGGAAAATAGCGCTAACGTTTGGTTTTCTCATGTTCTCCAATTGTTCCCTGACTCCCGAGTTTACAGATTATTCCCAGGTCACCTCTTCCTTGGCTGCCTGCCAACCCTTTGTGGAAATATCTGTCTTTTCCTGCACTGACTCAGTCAATCCGATGCACACTTGACCAAAGAGGTGTACTGGGCAACAGTCAGGAAGATGCTCCCTGTTTCCCACAGCTGTCACTTACCCCTTGACTCCGGGGAGGTGATGCCTGCAGCCTGGGATCAGCTAACCTAACAGAAGATGGCAAAATGGTCAGATTTCTAATCGAGCTTTTTAAAGTAGTCTTGTCCACACTGAACATTCAGTGAATGTCACACACTCTGTATGCTGCCTGAGGTTTATGTATCTCGCTGTGTGAAGAGGCTGTTCAGTGATATTGCCAAAACAACCACTGCAATAATATAGCACCTTCAGTGTAGCAAAGTATCCTAAGGTGGGCTATAGCAACATTCCGAAATGAGGTGAAATTTGGACAGGTGACCAAAGCTTGGTCAGTGTGGTCAGATTTCAACAGGGAAATGTTGAGAGGTGTTGATGGATTGCGTATTGACCCAACAATAATACTGGTGGATGTTGCGCCCATGCTGCAGTATATACAGTCATAATTATGTTCTGTTAGGAGTTTCTGGTAAATTCTCCACATTACCTCAGGCAATTATTGCTTCTCCTGCACGTCGAGCATCTCAGAATATTTTCTTTTTAATTCTTTTGTGGACTTTGTGTGTCAATGATGTTGCCAGCGTTTATTGCTCATCCCTAATTGCTGTGGAGAAAGTGTCAGGGTTCAAGGTCTTGAACAACTGAAGAAGGGTGAGGATAAACCCCACAATGCTTTTACGGAAGGTGTTCCAGGATTTTGACCAGTGATGCTGAAAGTACAGCAATATATTTTCAAAGCAGGATGGGGAGTGACCTTGGTGAGAGCTTGCGGATGATGATATTTCCACGCATCTGCTGCCCTTGTCCTTCTATGTTGAAGTGGTCATGGGTTTAGAAGGTGCTGTTGAAGGAGCCTTGGTGAATTTCTGCAGTGCATCTTGTTGATAATACACACTGCTACTGCTGAGCGGTGGTGGTGCAGGAAGTGAATTTTTGTGAGAGATACCAATCAAGCGGGCTGCTTTGCCCTGGATAGTGTCAGACTTCTTCAATGTTATTGGAGCTGCGCTCATCCAGGCAAGTGGAGAGTATTCCGTCACACTCCTGACTTGGCTTGTAGATTTTTAAAATTCATTTGTGGGATGTGGGCATCGGTGGCTGGCCAGCATTTCTTATCCATCCCTAGTTGCCTTTGAGAAAGTGGTGGTGAGCTGACTTCTTGAACCACTGCAGTCCACCTGCTGTGGGTTGACCCACAATGCCATTAGGGAGGGAATTCCAGCATTTTGAACCAGTGAAGGAACAGCAATATATTTCCAAGCCAGGATGGTGAGTGGATTGGAGGGGAACTTGGAGGTGGTGGTGTTTCCATATGTCTGCTGCCCTTGTCCTTCTAGATGGAAGTGGCAGTGGGTTTGGATGGTGCTGTCTGAGAATCTTCGGTGAATTCCTGCAGTGCATCTTGTAGATACTACACACTGCTGCTACTGAGCTTTGGTGGTAGATGCTTGTGGATGTAGTGCCAATCAAGCGAGCTGCTTTGTCCTGGATGGTGTCAAGCTTCTTGAGTGTTGTTGGGGCTGCACTCATCCAGGCAAGTGGGGAGTATTCTATCACACTCCTGACTTGTGCCTTGTAGATGGTGGACAGGCTTTGAGGAGTCGGGGTGAGTTAGTTGCCACAGTATTCCTAGCCTCTGACCTGTTCTTGTAACCACTCTGTTCATGTGGTGAGTCCAGTTGAGTTTCTGGTCAATGGTAACTCCTAGGATGTTGATAGTGAGGGATTCAATGATAGTAACACGATTGAATGTCAAGGGGCGGTGGTTAGATTGTCTCTTATTGGTGATGGTCATAGCCTGGTGTTTGTGTGGTGTGAATGTAACTTACCATTTGTCAGCCCAAGCCTGGATATTGTCCAGATCTTGTTGCATTTGAGCACTGACTGCTTCAGTATCTGAGGAGTCACGAATGGTGCTGAATATTCTGCAATTATTGGTGTACATCCCCACTCCTGACCTTATGATGGAGGGAAGGTCAGCCATGAAGCAGCTGAAGATGGTTGGGCCTAGGACACTATCGTGCGGAACTCCTGCAGAGATGTCCTGGAGCTGAGATGATTGACCTCCCACAACCACGACCATCTTCTTATGTGTCAGGTATGACTCCGACCATGGTGGACAAACTATGAACATGAGGGATAACTTCCTACTTGCCTGGATGAATGCAGCTTCAATAACACTTAAACTTGGCACCAGGACAGAGCCTATACCAACACCATGACAGGCCCTTAGTTAGATTTAGGTTTTTGCATGTTCGCCGAGTGCCATAAAAAGGCAGCTGTTGACTCTGTTTGATGTGTGAGTGTAGCATCCTCTGTTGTGGTTGAGTGTTTGAGGAAGCTGGAGGATTGAATGCCAATTCAGAGGGACTGTGAGGAGGTCAGGGTGGCCCTCCACTTTTGGGTGAAGGCTTACAGCAGTCAGTGGATTCCTCCACTCTTCTTGTGCTTTGAGAGTCGTGACTCTTCCAAAAGTGGAGCTTCAGTGCTCAGCACACCATGCACAGCACTGTCAGTGGGTCCATGAGGAGTGCAGTGTGGCTGGCTGTAGGAAGACATTTATGAAATTCTCCCACAATAAGTTTTCTTTAAAAATGCTTGCAATTTGCACCCAACCTCAATGTGTTACTGAGCTGGTTGGGGAAGGCAATGGAAAGCAGCAATCTCTGCAGTAATGTGCATTTTCTTCTAATTCAGCTCCGATGTACAGCGGAGTACCGGCAGGATACGGAGCTGCCTCAGTCCCAGGGGGATTTGCAGGATTCCCACAGCATCCTTTCTCGCAGCAGCAACCGCAGCAGCAGCAGCAGCATGTCTTCACTCAGCAACCGGCATTTCCACAGCAGCAAGGCTACAACCAACAGCAACAACAGCAGCAGCAACAGCAGCAACAGGCTTTTGCCCAGCAGCAGTCATTCCTGCAGCAGCAAAGTTTTGCTCAGCAACAAAATGGTAAAGACTATCACGGTAGAAAAGCTAAGCTAGTAAATTGTCCATGATGCATAGGGTTTGGTGAGGGTTGTGGCACTGGTTGGGTCTCCCAAGGATTAAATGACCACGGTGGGTGGGGGACAAAACATGTGTAGCTAACTCTCAAACTTCTCCTCTGGGTACTCTACTCAAGCTGCATTGAACAGTTCATAGTCAAGTGGAATCGACTGGTTTTCTATCAAGTATAGAGATTAAGGTTTGACCTAATCAAGGAATTTAACATAATGAAAAGACTTGATGGGCATGACCGAGGGAAACTGTTTTCCCCGACAGGCAGGAGAGGAGGTCAGTGGAGGGGGGATTCCATTACAACAGGATAGTACCTTAAAATTTAAACCAGACATGGGGTATGTTGGAAACCATGTTTTCATTTGAAAGGGAATCAAAGTCTCACCCCACCCCTTTTTTATAATGACCTGAGAGCTAAGGGAGTTTGTGCTTTTCTCCATGTCAATGCCTCAGCCGCAGAATCAATTCACCGAGCCGTCAATCCCCTTTCCTCCTGTACAATTAATTCTTGTAATAGTTTAAAATGTGGCATTCCTGCATTTGTCCAGATGAGTGAAAGAGGAAAAACTTCCAAAACACACTTTACTTTTCAATAAAATTTAACATATTATTCCATGTTTTGTCCTCTGAATGAAAAGAAACACAATTTTTAAGTTTTTGTGGTTGTCGATTTTATGATTTTCTGCTTGTTTCTTGTGTGTGAAGGTGCTGGGTTTGGTGCCTTTGGGCAGTCGAAAGCAATGCCGCGAATCATGGGTCCATTGATACAAGGAGGTGGAGTGCCCAGCAACCCATTTATGGTATGTGCCACACTGACTTCTTTCAAAGGGAGAGATGATGAGCTGTAATGTAAACCTGGGATACTAGTGAGTGAAAGCACACTTTAACAGGATTGGATTAAGTAGCTGCAAGCTGGCATGTTCTGAATTCAATTCTGTGGAGCCACAAGGTTTGATTTTGGGGCTCAGGGCAATATGAAGCAGGAACAAAAGGTGGTGTGTGAAAAATGTCAGGATCAGGATTCTTTGTGAAGCTGGTTCACCAAATGCCCCTGCCACACCTACTCAGTCTGACTCGTGTCAAACTGGTCTCTCGCAATATGATTGAACCTGTTGTGAATTGCTTGCTTGTTACGCTGTTGCAAGGAGGTGAGCCACCTCCTGTTCACCCTTTTACAGAGCAAGATAAAAATGCATCTATGTCCAAACTCAAGTCTGTGTCCAGTTGTGGTCCCCACACTATGCAAAGGATGTGAAATGTGTCCAGTTGGTTCCAGGGATGAGAGAGGTTTTAGTGACGAGGTTGGGTTGAAGAAGTTGGGCTCATTCTGCCTGGAGAGAAGGAGTTTGAGGGAAGATTTGACCGAGGTATGTGAGATAATGAGAGGTTTGGATAAAGGCGGACAAAGGAAAGCTCCCGTCAGCTGATGCAAGGAGGAAGGAGACACAGACTTCAGGTTTTGGGCAACTGATGTGGCATTGTGTGTAAGTTTGAAATTCTTCTGCAGTGAATGAGAATGATCTGGAACTCTCTGCCCATGATGGGGGTGGGACGAAGCAGCTGCTGTAACTCAGTCAGAGAGAGACAGCACCATTGCTACCTCAGAGTTTGTGCCCTATGTGGGATGCTATCCCCAATTTGAGAAGCCTGGTCTGCGGAGTGAGGAGTGGGAAGGTGGGCTGATCCAGGCATGACAACAGGCCACCGGCGGTTAGAGCTTTGGAAAGAAGAACTACAATAGGCCTTCAGCCTCTTAATCCTCCATCACCATTCAGTACAGTCAATTTAGATCTTCTGTTTCTACTCTTTCCCGCTTGAATATTTAAACAATGATTGATCTCAGTCTTGACTATAATCAATAACTGAGTATCCGTAACTCTCCGAAGTTCCAAAGATCACAACCCCATTGACTGCAGAAATTTCTTCTCCTATTCATTCCAAAATGACCAACCCCTTAGTGTGTGTCCCCATATACTAGATTTTCCAGCCCTGGGTGGGGGGGAAAGTAGCCTCTCAGGATTTGACAGAATCAATGCTATCAAAATCTATATATGTTAGGTGGAATTAAACTGTTTTAATGAGTTTTATTTCCTAATTGTGGAGTTTTTCCCCTTTAGTACCAGGCCAATCGGCCTTTCTACTCCATGCTAGTCTCCACCCATCTTCATCTCATCCGATCAGTATATCTTTCTATTCCCTTCTCCCTCGTATATTTATCCAGCTTTCCTCGTAAACTGAGAGAACATTAGAATTTGGAGAATTGGTTATGAGCAGGTGATCCATTTTATGGTGAAATGCAACTAGAGGTGAGGTACGTAGTCTTCCTTTAAAAGGAGGGGTCACTGGACTCAACGTTAACTTTTGACTTTTCTTCGCAGATGCTGCCAGACTTGCTGAGCGTTTCCAGCAACTTCTGTTTTTGTTCCTTTAAAAGGAAACCTGGCCACAGCGACCAGGAACAGAATGAAGTTTCCCTAACCACAGGCTTGATATTTAAGCAGTCATGATGATGAGAACAAGTTCAGCTGCGTTACGTTCTGTGATCAAATAGGCACCAGTGAAGACTGGCCATTTGGGCATGGTAATGGTGAGGTATTAGTGAGTGCTGGGCTCCTCCCTGGCAAGAATTAGAAAAGAGAAAGGCATGGAGTGGGTAGCTGAATATAGAACTGTCACTGATAATCTAAAGTTTAATCATATGTTTTTCCTCTCTCCCTCCCTATCCACCCTCTCCCCCTCTTTGATTCTCACTTTCCATCTCACTTTCACTCATTCTCCATCTGTTACTTGTTATATGTGTGTCACTCTATATCTGTCACTTTTTATATTTGTCATTATATCTCTCTCTCACTATGTGTCTGTCTGTTGTGCGTTTGCTATCTCTATTGCACTGCCTCTCTATGCTGCGTGCTCTCTGTATTGCGCTCGGTCTCTCTGTCACGCTGTCTGTCATTATGCTTGCTTGCCTGCCTTCTTTTGCCCACTTTCGCCATCTCTTTCATGCTCTTGTTCCCATTCTTGCTCTTGTACACTCATTCCCACTCCCATCCATTCACTGTCATGCATTTGCTCTTCCTTGGTTTTGCTCTCATGCTCCTGCGCCCCTGCTCCCTCATTCTGCTGCTACCTTGCTCACTCGCTCACTCACTATCGCTTTCTTGAACACTCTCACTGTCTCTCTCTTTCTCTTTATCTCTCTCTTGCTCCTGTGAAGACTGGAACCCCGCCTGGACAGTTTGCAGCAGGAAGCACATCTACCAACCCCTTCTTATAGTGATCTGCAATACTTCCAGCATGTGGCTCTTCCAAAAAAATTCGCCTTAAACCACAGGAGTCGACCAACAGCTGTAACATACTTAATGCCAGTACACACATTTCTATACTTCAGGGGAGGGAGGGAGTGGGGTGGGGCCGCTGAGGCACTGCAATATTGTAGTTCTTGTGTGTATTAGCAACCAAATAACAATGCAAGCTATATTGTGGTGAGGATGGGTGGGATACTCTGGACACAGCTTGGGGAAGACAGGGGAGGGGGGTCGTGGAGGAAACTCAGCATTTAAAAAAGCTTGAGTCTCATTCATACAGTGTTGGTCTTTGGGGCTGGGATTTTGCGAGGGGTGGGTGGGAAGTAGAAAGTGGAGGGTATATCTCGAGATGAGGGAATCCTTCGATTCAGCTGAAAGCCATGTTGTCTAAACTCTTTCAGGTAAGTTGGTGAGTAGGGAGGGCAAGACTTTTGTGCTGACGGGGTTTGTACTGGGGGAGCCTTGGGGCCGGGGTGTATAATCCTCTTATTTTGCATATGACTCAGTATATCAGTTCCAGAGGGGTTTTGGGAAGTGTGGGAGGGATGGAAGAAAGTGGATATTTGCTGCCCCTGGAGTACAGTTTCAAACAACCTTAGGGGCACAGACCAGCATGTGGGAAATTTATTGGGGAAAATGGGACAGACTTGGCAAGGTGGGGTGGTCAGCATTGAAATAGGCAGATGCCAGATCACGGGGGGTTGTACCCTCTCCTGCTGGATCCTGTTTGTGTTTGACTTCAAGAGCCGTTTCAAGAGTGTGCTGTCGTAGGGCTGGCGGAGAACGGTGTGGATCCTCTTGGTGTTTGTAGAATCTTTGGACATGGACCCTTTTATTAGAGTGACGATGTTTTTAATTTCTGACTGCCATTGAACCCAGCCCACGACGGTGAGGAGGGAGCTTGTGACCAGCGCAGAGCTGCGGGGAGAATCTGTTGTCTACATGTTGCCGGAGGCTATCACTGTCACAAACACTCCACCATCTGCACAGGCTGTGACGATTGTTGTTCACCAAGGGAACAGATTACTGAACTCCTTATTTTAAAATTCAGAGCGTGTACCATTTTAGCTTCCAGCTCGGAATTGCAAACAAACTCTCCTCATTTTGTCCTTCCCAACTTGCCACATCCTCCTCCTCCGCCCCACTTTGCAGTGCTTTATAAGGTCCACTTGCAGTCCTCCCACTTTCTTGCGACGGACCTTCTCCTCCACCCGATCAATTTTTGTTTTTTCCATCTCGGAAGATGCCTTTCCATTCCAAAGACTGCTGTAGAATAAAACAAATTTGGTGATGATCGGATCCGGAGTTGGCCCATCCCCTTGTTACTGTTTGACGAGCTGCTCTGTTGGTATCTCGGGCTTGTTTCTGTGTCTTTTAATTTTTTAAAAACTGTTACACCAATTCTGCTGCATTCTACCGTTCATTCAAAATATATATTTTGTTCATCTATCAATGCATGATGCAATAATCCTCTTGATTTGGGTTCGACAACTCGCACTTGCACACACACCTTGGGAAGATATGATAAAAATGGTGACCCATTCAGATACCGCTTCACTTCAAAAATTAGCTATCCCCTCCCCATGTAAGTGCTGATTGATGCGAGCAATCTCTTGGCAGAGCTGGAAGTGATTCTCCCCAACTGTTGGTGAAAGGTCACCTTACTGTTTGTGCCCTGAAAACTTTGCTCCTCTCTTACCTACATTGTAGCTCACTGTTCTTTGACCTGGGTTGGAGTACTTTGGGAGTGGCCTGGGGGTGGTTGAAAGGAAAGATGGCGTCAGTTGTGCTGCTTTTGCAGCGATCTGGCACAGACCTGAATGGCTGCCCTTTGTCTGACATGGGCAATCAGGCCCAGTGTCTGTTGCCATTTGCTTCCTGCTGTGTTATCCATTTCACTTTATTTTTGTCATTGTTTCTGAGCAGAGATTGTGTGGGTAGCATCCCTGCTTCTGAGCCAGAAGTTCTGAGTTTGAGTTTCACTCTCAGACTTGACAATCGCAGAAACACGCCCACAGTTGAGTAGCAATTTGTAAATCTTTCTGGCAGAAACGTTAATGGTGGTGGGAGTGGGAGAGATTCCTGGCCAGTCTTGTGATGGAACGAGCATTGGAGCCTTAATCCTCATAGCGCAGAGCTGCAGGATGTCCTTGTGGGGATTGGTTCTCTTGTAAATTGGTTTGGATCAGATTGGTGTCAATAACACAGCCCCCAAATCCCTGCTTGGCATTGGATGGATGATTCTGGGAATGCCTGTGGTGGAGGTCATGGCACTGGGGGTCATACCAGTCTTCAGCAAGGTAACTGATAATTTCATGTGGTCAAATCTGAAGTAGGAAAGACTTGGAAGCAGAATTTCCCCCATAATCATCTGGAAAAGAGAGGTTCCCGCTGGCTGCCCTTCTGGTCCCAACCAAATATGGCTCTGACCCCAACCACTCTGCTTTAATGGCCACATTTCCAAGTTCTCTTGGTCTCCAGCCTATTTTGCCAGGCCCCAGGCTCTGCCACTGGAGGTTTGACCCAGAGCTGAGCCAATTTCCAATACACATATGTTGTCAGTAACCCAAATAACCAAAGACACTTGCAGAGACCAAACGGTTCAGGAGTTTTAAAGTTCAATCATGGGATTCGTTGGCCAAAAGTCCCAGGGCACTGGAGGATTGGAAATGTGACCCTGTTATTTAAGAAAGGGGCAAAGGATAACCCAGGAAACTACAGCCCTGTCTACTGGGAAAACTGATGGAGGCCATAATGTGAGATAAGGTAAACATACACTTTGAGAAAAATAAGTTAACGCTAGACAGCATGGTTTTCTCAAGAATAGGTCACGTCTGACAAATTTAATTAACTTCTTAGACCAGATGACACCGGCAGTGGATGTTGTATATTTGTATATCAGAAAGCATCTGATACAGTACCAGAAGGCAGTTTGGTTAGCAAATTGGAAATGCTTGGGATTGATGGGTCATTGGCAGTGTGGATTACCAGTTGGCTAAAAGATAGGAAACAGAGGGTAGGTATAGATAGGCATTTCTTGGATTGGAGACGAGTTGAAAGTGATGTTCCGCAGGGATTGGTGTTAGGACTTTTTTTCTGATTTATTTGGACGGTATTGAGGGCAAAATCTCTAACTTTGCGGATGATACTAAGCTAGGGCAGATAGTGAATTGTATGGGTGATGCAGAATGACTTCAGAGAGATATTGACAAGTTGGCCAATTGGACAGACCTTGAGAAATGAATTTCAATTGAGCAAAATGTGAGGTAATGCATTTTTATAGAAGAAATACTGAGACACAATACAGGCTTAATGTTACAACTTTGAGGGGAGTAAAGGAGCAGAGGGACCTTGGGGTTCACCAGTGATTCTCTGAAGGTAGCCAGGCAAGTTGAAGCATTTGCTAAGAAGGTTTATAGGATTCTTGAATTTAGAAATAGATGCATGGAGTATAAAAGCAAGGAAGTGGTGCTACACCTATACAAATCTTTAGTCTGACCACATTTGGAGTGTTCAGTTCTGAGCACCTTATTTAAAGAAGGATGTTAATGCCTTGGAGAGTTCAAATGAGATTTACCAAAATGACACTGGGAATGAAGGATTCTAGATTTGAGCTGATTTTAGAGAGAGTGGGCTTATTTTCTTTGAAGCAGTGAATATTAAGGTTTTATTAAGACCTTATTAAGATGTCCAAATTTTGAATTTAGTTTTGAAGAGGGTAACGAACATTGTTTTGTTGCACTTGTTGGGTTTGCCAATAACCAGGGATCACAATTTCAAGATTGTCAGCGAGAGCTAGGAGTGAGATGGGGAGAAACTATTCAGTTTTTAGGATTTGGAATCTGCTGCCTGGGAGACTGATTGATGCAGATTCACTAAGAAATTTCAAGAGAGGATTGGATATATATTCGAAAGTGATGAAATTAGAGGGCCATGGAGATGAGGGGGGAGAGTCCAAATAACTGGATACCTTTTTCTGGAGCTGATATAGACATGATGGGTCAAATGGCCTCCTTTTTATACTGTAAATTCTACGATGCGAGCATCATTGACTAGGCCTACAA